TTTTCATAATTTTTACAATTTCACTTTTTTTTTCCCCCCCTCCCGAATTATTTATGTATAAATGTTTGAAATAAAATTAATATATGATGAAAAAAAAAAACGAAAAAATTAATAAAATTAATATATATTTATTAAATTTATCGATAAAATGAGAATAACATCTAATACGTAAAACACGTACGGAATTGAATTTATCGATAAAATGAGAATAACATCTAATACGTAAAACACGTACGGAATACGTGTACAGAATATTGTTTTTTTTTTATTTACAACATATCAAATAATATTATAACGATTTTATATCAAATAATTCTTACTAATACTGAAACTTACTGTAGTAAAATGTAATTTTCTATTTTAAATTATTCGAAATATTAGTTAAATATTACGATATGCTTTTAATAATTTATATATAAAACGATAATAATATTACATACAGTAAAATAATCATCATACTGTAAATCATTTAAATGGATGAATTTTAATGATACAATTAAATTTTAACAGTAAATTAAATCAATATGATCAATTTAAACTTGTCAATTAGATTACAATTTAGCATTGCTAACATTATAAGCATTTCTTATCAATATCAATTTTTACTTCAATTATTCTCTTATTGAATCATTGAAATTAATCAACCAAACAAACAATCATATCAATCATTTTATGATGAAATTTGAAATCAATCATACATTTACAGGAATTAAAATAAAATGATTAAAAAAAAAGATATAAATAAAAATGAAATATAAAGGTGAGATTTATTTTTGGTGAAAATTCGTAATCTCTCGAGAGATTTTAACGAAAGAAAAGTGAAATTGCATGAAAGAATGAAATGTGGCAAATATGAATGAGTCATATAAATCAGTAAATCTCTAGAGGATAAGTTGGAAAAAAAACTGATAACCAAACATTTGAAACAATCAATCATCATCATCATCATCATCATTATCATTACCATCATCGTTATCACAATCATCATCATATCCACATCCTTATTATTATCATTGTCATCATCATTCTTCTCCTCTTTCTCATCATCATCATCATCATCATCATCATCGTCATCATCATTATCATCATCACTAGCTTATTCAAATGCTTTCTGTTTCCTATTTGAAATGATACAATCGAAGAGATTTTGTGATAACAAATTTTTGTAAACGATAAATGATCAATTTTAAAATATATCAAATAGGAAATACATATGGAAGAAAACATTTGATAAAATGTTTCCTTTTCAATATCATTTATATACGATTATAAACTTTTAAAAAAGAATTCAAAAAAAAAAATTTTTTTTTTTTTTGCAACCTTTCATTTTCCATAAATTCTTTTCCATTTGATTACAGTACATTTTGTTAATTATATCAGAAAATGAAGCTAAGATGAATGGAAGCGATAAAGATTTTAAATCACAATTTAAAATATGAATTAATTTTTAATAGAAGTGAAGAGATGAAAATTTTAATTGACAATTTCAAATATGGAATTAATTTTAGAATTAAAAATTTTAAAAGTTCTGTGTGCATGTATCTGTCGGTGAAATATTTGAACAAAAAAAACAAAGTATAAACATATGTTACACACACATACACACACACATACAGACATACACACACACACATACACACATACACACAAACTTATAATTTACATATGGTGGATATAAATATATATATTTTCGAATATTTGTTTTCCTCATATTTTTGTTTTTGTTTTTTTAAATTTTTGAAAAAAGAAAAACTTTTGAAG